CTAATGTTCCTAAAAGAAAATGAAAAAAATAGTTTACCTTTCTCAAGTATCGTGATCGTTAGGTTTTTCTCTCTGACTATAAAACCATTTTTTTGATCTCATGCAACTTTTAAAACCAGTTTTTTACCTTGGATAGATTTGATAATGATTTTGCTAATGTGGCGTCACGTAAAAGAGAATAAATCAGACTAAATTGAAAGTTCAAGAAGGTAAATAAAACTCGTAATATTTTCAAAAAATGTCAATAAATTATAAAATAAATTTTCAATTTTTTTATCGAATGATTTATATGAAAAAATAATGCAATTCAAAATCCTTAAATCAGGTTTAATCTTAGAAAACTCATAAAATTTACCTCTAAAAATTGTGAAAATAGTATCATGTTTTTTTCCTAAAATCATGCTCTATTTATGGTGCCTAGCTTGATGGGCTCACTTTGGTGCTTATTTTATAGTATATACTCTAATTATCTTTATAGTTAGTCAATGTTGATCGTGCGACTACGTAGAAGCACTAGTGGAGTGTCATTAGGGCTACGTATGTGTGATGGGGTGGTGCTAGTCCCCTGCCTTGAATAAATTTTCAAAGTAGTTGTGTTAGCCTCCATGGTTGCATGCACTCTGCCGCACATACATAGTCCTAACGACATTCCACTAATGCTTCTGCGTAGTCAGATGATTAACATTGACTAATTATAATAGATAACAAGAGCTTCTACTAGAAAATAAGCACCAAAATGAGTCCATCAAGATTCAAACAATTTCAAACTAGGCACCATAAGATAGAGAATGGTCTTAGAAAATTATGAAACTAGTTTCATAATTTTTTGAGGTAAACAAATTTTCTATGAATCTTCTAAGATTAAACCGGATTTTATGATTTTTAATTGTATTATTTTTCAATTAAAAACATTTGGATAAGTTTATGAAAAAATATTTTTATGATTTTTTGATATACTTTTTAAAAAATATATATTTCTACTCTAATTTACCTCCCCAAACTTTGAGCTTGGTTTGATTTACCACCTCTAACATGGCGTCACGTCAACAAAACCACCATCAAAATCATCCAAAATGCAAAAACAAACTGTCTTAAAAATGGGTTTATATTTTAGGGAAGAAAATTGGATGACCACAATAGTTAAGGGAGGTAAAATGGACATTTTCCGCGTTCATATGCACACTATTGAATTTATACCCCAAAAAAGAAAACTTAGTGTGTAAGTTTCTTTGGAGGATTTTTATATTAGAACTAAGCATAGTATATATCGAAATAATATATGAAAGAACTTAAAATAAAAATAATATTCTATCTAAGTGCTTTTATTGTCTTCTTTCCTGGTAGTCTTGTTGTATGCAGCCTACGCTCTAACTGAAACATCAACAACGAAGTTAGAGTATAGTCCTCATGTTGAATTCACCAACTAATCCTTAGACATGTCACATGATCCAACGTTCTGACACCAAGTCAAAATGTATCCAAATCGATGAAGTAGCATATGCAGTTGAATCGTTAGGTACAACATAGGCTATAGATTCAACACCTATAATCCTTGATGTATCAAGTTGGACATATAGTTTTCTCTTTGCGGCCACCAATGATGAGGTTGATGATTTGGAGTTAATATCCCCCACTAGAAGTGTGCATGAGCACCCTTACCCTTGTAGATAGTTACCACAAAATGTTGACCTCACTTTGGCTATCATCAAAGTCGTCATCAGCTAACAAGCTCCTAACCAAACATCAATAATGATTTCATTGATAGATTTACTAAACTAAAACGAAGGATGATGCTCTCTTGTAGTCCCCTTTTCGGCGGCCTAACCGAAAGAGGAAAGGAGAGGTCTCTAGACGGCGACTAGGGTGCCCTGATGACAGCCACGGCTTGGAGCCCATAGGCCAGGCCCAACACGGGTGATCACTACCATATGCTTCGCCCAAAAAGTACAGGACACGTAGACATAGGACACACGGTACTACCGATTTTACAATCCAAGCCAACAGCTAGAGTAAAAACATCACTTCATCATTTAGCTTTTTGCTGGCTTCTTTTCCTGTTATCCATCTCAACCTTTGAAAAAGCATGAGCTAGTGCTACTGCTCCATCGCCACAACGCATGCTTGCGTTGGTACCTAGAACTTTTGTCAGACGATGAGGCATTCGCAACCTTTGCAGGCAACTATAACCCACTGCAAAACCACTACCGGGTGTGATATGGACCTCGTGTGCAGAAGTGGACGATGGGGCTACTAGCCAGCTTGGCACGTCGGGTGGCCTTAGGAGTTAGGGCAACGACTACTTAATGAAAGGGTTAATGGTTGAAATTAAGAAAACGTGGGCCATTCTATCCTTTCTCAAAGTCAAAGATACGGTGCTGCAACGTTATGGGCCAAGTTATTTAAGCCTAGCACAAAAGAATACTTACTATCTTAAAGTGCATTATTAGACATGGAGGACGCACGGATGAGACTCGAGCACAGAATGATGGAGATGCTAGCGCCTGGACATCTGGCCTAGGAGGCGTCCGGACGTAGCTCCCACCCAGCCTATAACATTATCTAGTTCCCCCTATTTGATGGAACCCACAACAGAGGGGGCCGCCCTGCCTGCGCTCTGCTGCACGCATAGGAGGGACCGCCCATGCCCCTGCCGCCATCCCCCTCTGCTTCCCGCATTTGCCGCCACGCCGCGCTCCATCCCTTCGCTTCCCATGCACATGCATGGCGCCCTAGCAGCTGCAGTAGGTGGGTCCTATTGCAACATGTGCACACCAGATATACTTTTGCAATATTCATATAAAACACTTGCAACATACATCCAAAACAGCTGAAACACTTAGAACATACGTTTGAAACACCAGAAAACCACGTGTGTAGCCATTGTAAAATATACGCAACATGCAGATGAAATACTTGAAACATACGTTTGAAGCAACTGAAAACACTTGGAAACATACGCTTGCAACATGCATGTATATGCAACATCCAGATCTACTTTTTTCAACATGTAGATGAAATATTTGCAACATACGTTTGAAACATATGAAACATTTAGAACATACTCTTGAAACATACGTGTATAGCCATTGCAACATGTGCAACATCTCGATCTATTTTTGCAACACCAATATAAAACACTTGCAACATACCTCTGAAACTTCTGGAACACTTAAAGCATACGTTTGCAACACGCACTTTCAGCGCAATATCTCCTTGATATTTGGGAATTGAGGCTCGTCGGCATGTGGATTTCACTGGTGCAGAGCTCGCCGGTGGCGCGAAGTTCGCCGCTTCGGTGGAGAAGGCCGTGGTGGGTCCACGCGCTCTAGAAGGCTGCGGCGTGCGAGAGGTGCGTTGGAGAGGGAGGAAGATGGGCTGCCGCGCTCTGACGCGGTGGAGATGATGGCATGCGGAGCGGATGCGTGATGGAGAGGGAGGCGCGGTGGAGAGCGAAGTCATTGAGGCAGCGGGGCGCGCGGCGGAGCGCGGTCGCGGGGCGCTGTCATGGCGTTGCGGTGTGGTGAGTTTTTTTAAACGGTTGGGGCGAGTGAATGAGCAGATAAGATAAGAGGCGGTCGTTGGGCTGGCACGGGCATCCCACCATCGTGAGCATCCGGACGGACGCCCAGTACCAAGAATTACTGAACGAAGATCATGAGTTACTTGAGCAGCTAGCCGAACCTTTTATGGATGGATGACAAAATAGAGAGAAATATAAATCAATTTATAAAAACTTATATTTACAGAAAACTTATATTTACTAGTTCATTAAAAAATTAAATTGCATTAAAAAGGGTTATTTGTGAGTTATTTGAAGAAATTGAATTGCAGAAAACTTATATTTACAAGTTCATTAAAAAATTAAAATAAAAAAATTATAAAATAATATGACGAGGTTCTCGGTTGTTTGAAGGAAAGTACTACGCAAAAAAATGTATTTGAGTTATATAACCTTTATTAAAAGTAAAAAGTTACGAAAAAAATATTTCTTCGATGGAAAGGTTTGGGGCTGCCGGGAATAGCGCAGAGAGCCAGAGGTCGATCGATCACCACGCCAATTTAAAAAATAGCTCGAGCTCTCAGCACTCCGAGCAACCAGAGGAACTGAGGACAGAGCTGTGCACGGACAGGCAGACAGGGAACCAGATCGGATCAAAGGAACATGCGTGCAAAATGAAAGAAGAGAGAGAAAAAAAAAGAGACAATATAATGAAGGGATTGAGGCCCCGTTTACATTTAAAAAATTTTAAGCAGCACATCGAATCTTGCGGTATATATATATGGAGTACTAAATGTAGACGAAAAAAAAACTAATTGCACAGTTGGGTGAGAAATCACGAGACGAAACATTTAAACCTAATTAATCCATAATTTGACATTAATTATCAAATACAAACAAAAGTGCTACAGTAGCCAAAATCCAATTTTTTTTTTAATCTAAACGGGGCCTGAGATGGGCCGTGATGTGGGGTCGCATCCGACGTGGTCGGTGCAATGAGAGGAAACCATGTCTCTTGGCGAGTTGGCGGTCGCTGCCTATACCATGATTTATGTTCGAGAAAATCCGAAAATTCAAGGAGATAATGACACGTGAGCAGCTACATAGTAGGACATTACTGTACCGACGTCAACGTGGCAGGAAAATTGGCAGCTTGACAAATACAGGAAGGCCACCTGGCACGATGTGCACGTCACTGATCGAACCCGTTACACATACGCAGATCACGACGCGCTTCGAATCGAATGCCCGTGTTCCACGCACCACGGCTCCACCGGACCGACCAGATGTCCATATCAGACCGGCCCCATGGCCCGTTCGGCTTTTCCCACATACAGCGTGTTCGGTTTCTTTTTTTTAATCGAAACGGCGTTTTTGTTCGAAAACATTTTAGCCATTTTGCAGACAATTTCAACCAAAATTAACCGAGCCGACCGGCGCCCAGATAAGCGAGCCTTCTGCGCCCAGCCCGATCGATCCATTTCCCACCCGATCGCCAATC